CTCTGCCCACATGATTGAAATGCAATCCTCAAGACACTTACCACACAAAGAGCCCACTCAAGAAGAATTCTATTAAAATAAATCCATTGTGGCAGGATGAAAAAGAATGCTATTCTAAATCTTGATAAACCCTAAAATAAGATGATAGAAAAATAAGTAATACTAAGTATGTAATCAAATATTCCACATCAAGTGATGATAGATAGTATCTTCCCTTAATAAACTCACTGAAAGCCTTTACGTTAATATATTCGAAATAGCCCACTTGATCCCATCAACTTTGTTGATGAATGCAAAAGTCAGTTTTTTTCCTGAAAGGCAGGCATTAAACAAATATATCACATGTCTCTTTTTCTCCTGACTTTTTAAAGAAAATGATTTCATGGAAGTTTAGGCAGCGAATGACACAGACTGTAGTGAAGGTTATTTGGGCAACAGTAATATTAGACATTGGGAAATGATGCTTATGCAAATGAAAAACAGAAAAGGTCAGGACTGTATGAAAAAGTTTCTCCAAGGGAATGCTCATTGTCCTCCATGACTAAAGACGCTGCGTCTATAAATTCACCCAAGTGAAATTATATTCATGGCACCGAAAACCAACTCCAGAGCCAAACTGAGATGAACAAGCAAAGACTTATAATGTACCAGGAAAACAAAGGACTGCAAACAAAGGACTGGTTCAGCCCATCAGTCCTCAGGAGGACTACACCAATTTCATTCCTAAAGAATCATGACACTGGTTTTCCAAGAGAAGAATGCAAAAGTCAGCTCATCCTCCCTTACTCCCCAGTCAGGGAGCACCAAAGAGAGAAAACTGGGAAGCTGTAAAGACAGACAGACATGGGAGGCCGTGTGGTGCAGTGATTAAGAACACTCTGCAGTTTGAATCCCAGCCTTTCCATTTGCAATTGTTACTTAGGGAAAGTTTTCCTAAACGCCTCTGCCCCTCAGTTTTCTCATCTGTAAAATGAGGGTGATTATAGTATTTGCTCACTTGGATTAAATGAGATTTGGATTAATGAGATACTTGACATATAGTCAATAAATGTTGGCCATGATGATGACAGTGATGATGGTGATGGTGATGATGATGATGGCAATAATGATGATGATATAGTATACATTATTCTTTTGTCCCTCCCCCAAAGGAGACAGATTCCTGATGGAGCTATTATGGTGTCTGGAAAACCATCAGGTTTGAACAACCTAGAAAGGAAAGGAGTCTCTAAGACTGAATTTCTAAAAATTTTTTCCTAGAACACTACTTTGAAATTTCATTTATAACTTATTTTAAAATCTTAACAATTTACACTGATCCACTTAAGTAGCATTGAGAAGGAATCCAGGGAGAATCTGAGTTTGGCTTCACAGACATTTTAAAGATAAACTAACCTGGAGAATCAAGATAAAAGAAAATGAACAAAAACGATTTTTTAGAACATAAAGTTTTGCCTTAAAAATTGTTTCCTTTCAAGGAGATGTGAGCTTTAAAAGTGGCTAGAGTATTCTAAGATCATTATTTAATCTATGATACTCTTTGGAAAGAATGTAGTCCACTTGGATTTTGATCTCAGGTTATTTTCCTTAATGAAAAAAAGACTTTGCTTCCAAAAATTCATCCACACTAGCTCAACGTTTCCTAAAGGCAAGAAACATTTCTTTTATTCCACACGAAACCACGACATATGTAATATAAGACTTTACACACTCAGTGAAAGTTTGTGTCTGACTTTTCCAGAAACGTGTAGGTGTGATTCTCCTGGTTAAATCATAGAATTGGCATTTGGTAGAGACATTTCTTTAAAACCCATTGCCATTCAATTTGCAAAAAATTTTAAGTCTGCTTTAATTACATTTGGTTGTTACTTGCTATTCCCTAAAATGTTTATTATACCCCTTGTGTCGAGTATACCTATTGCAAAAAGGGATCTGATGACTTTTTAGGGTTTCACACCTCACAGCTTCTACTCCTAACTCTAGAAATTTCTCCTTCCTCCAAAGAGCACAAATAATTGGTCTCTGTTCTCCCTTTATAAACTAATTGATCGTGATATTAAACAAAATGTTTTAATAGAAGGGAAGGAAATGTCCAGCACACTATAGCAAATAGCAATAGAAAATCAGAGGCCCCTTATGAACATTTTCCCAGTGCGATGTACAGACCCCGAGGGAGGACCCACCACACTCGGCCTTTCTGCTGGCTGAAATGGTGTCTCAGTCAGGCTGCCTGGTCGTCTCCCCAGTGGACAGGATTTCTTCTGGGAAATATATTGCAATAGTGTTTGTAGTCCTGCCTTCTGCTGGGAACTTGCTTGGTGTACCTCCAAGATGAGAATTAGAAATGTAGAGCTAGAAATTATTTTGGAGACTCTAAAGGTTAGAAAAAAAATGAAATCCAGAAAAACCACGTTATTTATTCAAGCCCAAACACCTAACAAATCATAGGACTGGAGCCCTATCTAACGGTGTCCATTGCTTCTAAGTCCAACTGCTGCTTTGAATGAACTCAGAATTCGTAATTTCACAGAAACTTTTAGCTTTATATTACTGTTATTAATAGAAGTGGAACTATATATGCAGAAGATAAATATGCAGTGATTCAATCATTAAAATAATATTTGTGTAATGTGAATTTGCTATATCTAATAGAAAATAACCAAATTGACTAAAATTTAAAATGCATTTATATTGTCTTTTAAAATAATGTTTAGCCACTGTGAACATAGCTTTATCATTGTGAATAAAAAATGTTTCTAAGCGTGTCATTATTTATTTAAGTAGAGTTGGTATACAATATTATATTAGCTGTATTAGTTTCAGGTGTACAATATGGTGATACGACATTTTTATAGCTTACAATGTGATCACCCCACTAATTCTAGTAATCATCTGTCACCATGCAAAGTTATCATGATATTATTGACTATTTTCCCCTCAGCTATTTCACCCATCCCCACCCCCTCCCTTCTGGTAACCACCCTCTTAGTCTCTTTATCTATGAATCCGTTTTTTTTTTTGTTTGTTGTTTTGTTTTTTTTAGATTCCACATATAAGTGAGACCATACAATTCTTGTATTTCTCTGCCTAACTTATTTCACTTAGCATAATGTCCTCTAGATCCATCCATATTATTGCAGATGGCAAGATTTCATTCTTTTTTATTGCTGTGTATCTTCTTTATCCATTCATCTATTGATGGACACCTAGGTTGCTTCTATATCTTGGCTGTTGGAAATAATGATGCAATGAACATAGGGGTACATATATCTTTTAAAATTAGTGTTTTTGTTTTCTTTGCATATATCCAAGAAGTGGAATTGCTGGTTGTTAAGTGTGTCATTATTAATTAATTCTACAAACATTTTTGAAACTTCACTGTTATCAGATGTAGTTCTAAGTGTGAAGATACCGAAAAGAAAAAAATAATAGCCCTAGTCCCAACTTGTCAGTGACCTGGGGAAGCTGACATAAAACAAGAAAGTATGCTACTGTGTGATTTCAGCTGTGGTAGTGTGGGGTGCAACACCTGTGGCCACACAAATGAGGGGGGCTTAACTGTGCAATAAAAAGAAGGCTCCCCCAAACAGATAACACCAAAACTATATCTTGAAAGAAGGGGATGAAGGAAAAAGCGGCATTAAGAGAGAGAATAGCATGTGTCAGACAGGTAGCTGTGACAGCATGTGGCAAATTTGGGGAGCAAGTGCTTCTATATGGCTGCACCCCGGGCTTGTGAGGCCAAGGGCAGAAAGGGATCCGATCATGATGAGCTTTGTACATCATGCTAAAAAGTTTGTATTTTACCAGAAAATAATGGGAAGCTATTGATAAATTATACGCTCTAAAATGATACCACTGAAATTATACCATAAAGCTAATGGATTTTTTTTTCTGCTTAATAATGATCACCTTGGTAAAACAGCCGAGAGTAGCATGTGATAAAATTACTAGAATCTAATTCCAATTGTGGAGCTGACAGAAATCTCAATGTCCTCATCTGTAAAATGGAGATCATTATAGGATTGTTATAAAAAGTACGCGAGTTAAAGCCTGGTAAGCATTTGTTACAGTGTCTGGTATATTGTAGACACTCAAAAACTGAGCTTCATTGTTTTCATCCTGCTCATCATCATTATAAAAGACTGAATTGGAAAAAATGGATGAGAATGCTAAGGGCTAATTTTAACATCTAGAGTTAAAAGTAATTTTCCAATTCTGCTGAATCTATATTGCTTAGAGTAATAGAGTCCCTTCAGAGAGAACTATTTTGTAAGAGGCATGGCTAGGAAAAGGCATCGGCTAGCAAAATGCGCTGAGTATGTACTTGAGAGGAACTTTTCTGCTGATTTTGTTGTCCAAGAGAATGTAAGAAAAGAAAACTGGAGTTTTAACTCTTGAGAGCAGTATCTGAGGAGAGTACATACTTAATTTGCTAGTTAAAGGCAGAAGAGGAAAATATCAACATCCATAAATAGAAATTGGAGATCAAATTAACTTTTTATTTTTTGCTTCCCTTTGTTGACAGACAGGCTCTCAAAAAGAGAGCTTTTAGTTTGCTACTAGATTGTAACTAATTGTTTATAAAGTATCCTTATACTGTAAGGACAAAAGGTTATTTTTGTTATTGGAATATTTTCTGTATTGTGCCAAACTGGAAATTTGAAATATACAACAGATCCTCAAATAATGTTGTTTCATTCAGTGTCTTTTCATTATAATACTGTTGAGATGCCTGGAAACTTAACTCTTACTTCTGTCAATTAGCCTAGGGTAAGATTGGTTTTGTTATACGTTGTTTCCTTACAGTTCCAAGAACCTATCAATGATGGTAAGTGAGGACTCACCGAAGTTGAGCAATTTCAGTTTGGTCGTATTAAAAACTAGGTATGTCAGAATTAGATTTACTCTCTGCATAATGCCATCTCTCTATAAAAAATAGACTATATTTCAAGATTCTATGGAATAATAGGTTTACTTTCTGTGTTCTGTTTTGTTAGTGCTCCTATATCCCTCCCTGTAAGAGAGAAAATCAGAAGAACTTGGAAAGTGTCATGAATTGGCAACAGTACTGGAAAGATGAGATTGGTTCCCAGCCATTTACTTGCTATTTTAATCAATTTCAAAGGTAAGCCAATATTTACATGTGTATATTGAAAGTGTTTGTAGCCTCTTTCATTTTTGACATTCATAAATCATAGGTTGTGCTCACTTGACAAATACACAACATGGAGATGGTCTCAATTCTTTCCAGCATGTAATTAGGGAAGCCCCTCCTTACTTTACGGGATGGGAAACAAGCAAAGAATCTGCAGGCCAAAAAACAGAAGAACGAGAAAGAGCCCAAAAACTTATATCTAGAGCTTACCCTCTGGATACACTAAGAGAGTGCCTTTAGTTAGGGTCATTGTATACAAGCTGTGTTCCCTAAGAATTACAGATTAAAGTATATAAGGTAAACAGCTGCAGGTTTGTCAGCGTTTTGGACTGCATCAAATCTTCTCTTTCCTTTTCCTTTCTATTCTGACAAAGTATCAATAAAATTAGTTTATTCCATTAAAACTTTATTTGACTTAGAACTCAATTTATGCCATGAATAATGGCTCCTTAGGGGACTAGAACACGTCAGCACTTACCCAAATTAATCATACTAATTTATTCATCAAACATTTATTGAGTATTCACAACTCCTTGTTTATATCTCCACTTGGATGTTCTCCAGTTGTCAACTTTCTCTTCCACTTAGTGAATGGCACTGTTATCCACTCAGTTACCTAGTCCAGAAACTGCTGAGTAATTCTTAATTCACTTTTCTCCTTTATGTTCTATAGCCTGTGTTCACCTTGTTGGTTGTTCCTCTGTAATGTCTCTACCTTCCCTCCGACACTTAGTTCAGATCCACATTATTTCTCAGCTCTATTAATGCAATAGTCTTCTGACAAGTCCTTCCACCTGCGCCCTGCCTCCACTCCAAACCATTCTGCAAGCCGCTGCCAAGGTGATCTTTCTAAAACATGAGTCTAATCAGGTTACTTCTCAACAGCTTTTGAGTAAAGCCCAAATATCTTGGCTTGGCCAATATTTCAGGTACCTATTGCTGTGTAAGAAACCAACCCAATTCTAGCGGTTTATAGCACTGAGTTATTATTTCTTATGATTTTGTGGGTTGACTGAGAGATTCATCTGCTGATCTCTCCTGGGCTCATGTGCCGTCAGATCGCGGCTGGAAAGGCTGCATGGTCCACAAGGGCCTCTTCCTTCACATGCCCAGCACTTGGTGCTGGCTCAGATGAAGCACCTTAGCTCTCCTCCACCTGGCCGCTCATTCTTTAGTAGGCTGGGTCACCTTCCTCACAACATGGCAGCTTCACAACAGCAATTCAGGAGAGCCAGGCCTTGGCTCTGGAGCTCGCATAACATCACTTCTGACACGCTCTATTAGTGAAAGCAAGTCGCGAAGCAGCAGATTCAGGGGGTGTTGAATTAGACTCTGTCTCTTGATATAAAAGCTGCAAAGACGTTGTGGCCATCGTTACTCTACCACAGGCTCCTCAGCCCCTTGCCCTGACTACCACCTCTCTAGCCTTCTCTCCATACACGTAATCTTTGCAATAACCTTTCTGAACTATGTGCAGTTCCCAGAATATCTTATCCTTTTATATCTAAGCCTTTTTATTTGCTTCTTCATTGCCTTGCTGAAGACTCCTCTGGGCTGCTTTACTTGATCTCCAAGTTTGATTTAGTTGTATATCAGTTAGGATGCCATCTGCTGCAGTTAAACATAAAACTGTGACTCAAAATACCATATAAACAATTGGGAAATTTATTATTTCGTGCATCAAGAAATGCATAAATGCACCAGCATTACGGTTGTTTGATGCAATGACTCTTAAGTGTCATTAAGAACCCAGCTCCGTTTTGGATCTCAGTTCTGCCTGAGATAGGTTCCTCCCCTTATGATTACAACATGGCTGCTCTGGTTCCAGATATCACAGCCAGACATAGCAGTGTTCAAAAGCAGAAAGAGCCTGTCTCCCCTGACATATTTTTATTTTCACAACATCCCACAGTGAGCCTCCCCTTAGGTATTTGTGTTTATAATTAGTTCCTATGCTTACACCTAAGCCAATCACACAAAAGAACAATCAGAGTTTACCTGTGAATTAGGGATAAGGCAATGTGTCCTAAGGTGAATGGAGGAAAGATATACACCTGAATAGATTTAGAAAGGAAGAAGAAAGGGGATGGAATTTGTACCAGCTACAAGGTGTGTCTTCCATATTCTGTGCATAGCTCTATCCCAGAGATTTGCAACCCTCGCTCCACATAATTATACCAGAGGAATTTAAAAAAAAAAAAAAGCACTGCAGACCAATTAAATTAGACTCTCTGGTGGTTGAAAGTAGGCATTACTGTTTTTAAAAATTGACTCCAGGGGTTCTAATATATGAGCTATTTATTATAATATATTTATCACTGTATATCTCATATATATCCAATGTGTGAGGTTCTAACATATGTATATTCTAATATACAAGATATGTATTAATCTATTCATACATCTCATCTATAATGTATATCATTATATAATATATATTACATATGATATATATACCTATACATATATGGTAGGTACATATAAATCTAATATTTGAGATATATTAATATGTTTATTAATATACTAATAAACCAAGGCTTGACAATGTACAGTACATTAGGTATACATGTTATATAATAAGGAGTGGTGAGTTTGTAAGCCAGAAATGTAGCTTGAGATCAGATTTCTAAAGGGTCATAAATGCCATACTAAGGAATGGTCTTTGACATATGGGCAATAAAAATTTTTAAAAAGTGTTTGTTTGTTGTTTTAAACCAAAGGTGGACATGACTAGAGCTCTGATTTGGAAGGTAACGGTGTGAGTGTTGAGTGTGTATTGGAGGGGAAAGATAAGTTAAAGGCTGGGAACTCTAGCTCAGTGATGGGGCAAGTAAGGAGAGGACTGAGTGAAAAAAATAACATTTCTGAGTGGCTATGGTGTGCCAAACATTGAGAATAACGGTTTGTTTAGATCACCAAATGTCTCATAATATTTCTAAGGACTTAGCCCCATTTAACATATGAGGAAACTGAGTCCTAAAGAAATTAAATAACTTGCCCAATGCACAGAGCTGTTATTATAAGTGGGGGAAAAAGTGGAATCCAGTTATTCTGATTCCCAGACCTCTTTCTATTAACCATCTGCTGGTCCTGATAAAGCATGTTGAGAACCATGATAAACCTGAGAAGCAGGAGCAGTGGGAGTGGAAGGAGGTTAAGAAGTAGGGGTAGTTTTTATCTGTGAAGCAGGAGCCAAGTAACAGAGAATCGGCACCAGCAACCGGGACAGTTTGATTCTGAACCTACCACTGTCCAAATTGGGTGATCCCTTATGCTCCTGGTTTCAGAATGTGTGAGAGCTTGAACTTGAGCTTACAGTTGGAAGCAACCAGGGGTAGCCCCTCCCACGGGCTGTCCTGACTAGCTAGCTGGTGGTCATGTTACTACATTTCCCTTCACTCCCCACTCAGGCACCAAAAGTTCTCTAAAGGCTGCCTTCCCCAAACAGGGTCGCCTCCTGTGAGGGAATGACGTCTGAATAGCCTCAGTACCCAATCAAGGACTATTCCTCCAGCAGAGTGGAACTATCTCAAAAGAGCTAATCCTACATTATATACCAGTTGTGTTAACTTTAGTAACAGTCAAGTGAAGCCCATCAAACCTCCCTCAGAATGCATACTCGTTCCCCATCTCACTGTCTCGTTCCCAAACTGTCGGCGTGTAGATAGACGTGGGGGTGGTCTGTCACCACCGGCAGCACTCGAGACATGATTCTAAGTGACTCCGAGAAAACAGAAATTTGGCGTGTGGCTCTTTTACCATGACATATGCAAGAGGAAACGAATGCTGGTTGGGCATGTGAAAAATGGCACGTCCCTGGAGCCTTCTCTTAATACACTTTTTACTACTGCTAAATATGAGATAAAAATAACCTTACTGTAGAGACTTCCCAGATGCTCTCGATAAGATGAACTTTATATTTAAAGTAACCTTTAGATTTCACGCGCATGCAGGAAATTGGGGAGAATAGCTATCAAGAAGTTTCCATTTTCAAGAGAAAGATGTTATTTTAAAAATCGAACACGAAGATTATTGGAGTCTTAGCTTCCCACTGTTTAAGTCTGACTTAGGAGAGCTATAGTCAGGAGTAGAATCTGCAGTGGCCAGAGCAGCCACCAGCAGCCATGTCTGCCGGGGACACCAGTCTGCATGCGGTCAGCCCTCCTCCTGTACCCAGAAGGATGCCAAGGGCTTGGGGGAGCCTGGTACCGGCTGCTTCCTTTAATGCTGTTCCCACGTAATCTTCCAGCTCTTTGCCTCCCTCAGCTCTGGGGCTCACAATCTCCATCCAATGTGTAGATTTCTATTTTACACGTTTTTCCATAGATGAGGTCACACTTACCCTCCCTAGATCACTTTCTGTCTCTTAGCCTTTCCCTGGCTTATCTTTTCTCAGCTAAACCTGAATTATGTCCCCTTACCAAACATGTTTTGAAATCCTCGTTCCATTGCTGTAGTCTCAGCCTTCTCATGCTCTTCTCCTCTTCGTCTTTGCCTGAACTGGCCTCCCCTTGAAGAAGGGATGTCCCTGGAAAATGATTACTCACTCCTCAGCTCCCTTTGGATCAAAGGGCTAAGAGGAGTGTGATCAGGCTTTTTTTTTTTTTTTTTTAACTTTTCCTCTAATGGAGAACATAGTGTTTTTCTCTACAGATTTACTTGTTAATACTTTATTTTATACTTCTGAGTAGATAATAGCTCAGAGAGTGCACAGGTTAGGTTTACACACACACACACACACACACACACACACACACACACACACACCAGATGAACCAATCCACACACCACCTGTGAAGTCTTAAATTCATGCCCTGGATTCAGGCCCTCACTAATTGCTCATCTAGATTGTTGAAGCGATCCTCAACTCGTCTTCCAGCCTTGGTCTTTTTCTCATCTGTCACCCACATTACACTAGGTTTTGTTTTGCTTTATTTAAGCTGCTATTTGACCTTGACACAGTCCATGAT